CCCCCCCCCCTCTCTCTCTGTCTCTCTCTCTGTCTCTCTGTCTCTGTCTCTGTCTCTGTCTCTGTCTTGCTACCACTTACTTGCCTGACAGGGAGCAGGGAGGCAGCGGTACCTACTGCTTTGCCTCATCACCACCATTGTCCCACACCACAGCAAGAGGCAGGTGAGGAAGCAGACTGCAATGGGCAGGGGGAGGAGCAACTCCAGGGGCTGTTTCTCTTTGGGCCCAGCCCAACCATGCCTGTGCTTGGCACCAGGGCGGATGGTACCCAAAGACTTGCCCTTGGAGGCGGCTTACCTTTCTTTGCTTAATGGCAGAGCCAGCTCTAAAAATAGCAGGTGTAGAAGTGGTGCAGAAACAAGTCAAGGTTAGAGCATTCTGCAACTTAGGCATCACATGCCTGGCAAAGCATAGCTTCATGCTGGCCAAATAGATGCTTGCTTGGTTCTTTAAATAGGCCAGAGACATACTAAAACTGATATAAACCAGCCTTTTGCAATCTGGTGGTCTTCAGAAGCATTTGGACCACAACTCCCAGAATTCCCATGCAGCAGGGCCATTGGCTGGGAATTCTGGGTGTTGCAGTCTAACTGTGCCTGGAAGGCACAAGCCTGGGGAAGGCTGATATAAACTATTCTAATACATTTGGGCTGTCCTTCTCAGCATGAGCAGTAGGAACTCTTGTAGCTCTCTGAAGCAAGTGGTAAGAAGGTGCAGTGCTGGCGGGAGAGAGGGACAATAACAGAAAATCGAGGCTGCCTCCAGTCTGGGCCCAGGAGCAGGAGAATGGAGAGACTTGGTGGGAGAAAAGGCTGAGCCAGGGAGGGAGATTCACTTGCTTCGTACGCCGATGATCATAAAACAGATAGTGCAAGGAACAGTTCCCACACTGGGCCTGTTTCTGTGTCTCTATCCTTCACCCTTTACCTTGAAAAACATATAGTTCCCATGAAACCTGACCTTAGCTTGCCGGGGGTTCTTTTTAAAAAGTTAATCTGTTGCTCTAATCTGACTTTTCGAAGATAGGTATTTTTCAATGTTACCAACTCCAAGGTGTTCTCACCTGTTTTTAACTGGCTAACTTAATTTGAGGTGTGGGGCAATGAGGATCTTCCTGATCTTTGGAACAATAAGCCATTGAGGCTGCATTCCTGTATGTATTTGCCTAAGAGAAACTCTCACTGAATTTAGTGGGACTTAGTTCTAAGCAGACGGAAGTGTGTGCTTTAGGGAATTTATATTCCATTCTTCTACAGTTCAGATCATGTTCAGGGCAGCTTACAGCATTTATATTTATTTTACCCAACTCTCCACAATTATCTCAAGCACTGATTAGATGACTGGCTATAAACCCTAAATGGATTCTAGGGTTAATTTTTGCCTGGATTTGTCAGTGCTGCAAAGCTGCAACGCAGCATGAAATAACAAATCTGTGTTTTGCTGGAACAATTAGTATAACCATATGTTTCCTGGAAAGCAGAGTAAGCAAGATGGTGATACTTTGGTAGAAATGCCCCTGCCCTCGTTCTCTACCATGACAGAGAATCAAAATGCTCCTTCCTTTGCGACAATCACTGCATGTTGGCTCCAAGAATGGAAAATGTGCTCTTCTGGTTCCACTGGGTGGCTCATTATTTTGAGAAAATGGCAGCTCGAGAAATGTCTGTCCTGCAATTTTGTCCCATAGGAAAGTCCAAACTTGCTCCTTCTTCAAGACCCCAGTAGGCCACCTCCTGCTCTGCTCTTCAGCTGCCAAACAGGAGTTGGAAGGACCAACCTAGCCATGGTCTTGGGCATTCTGGTGCTGTATCACCACAAGGGCGGTCTGCAGAAACTAGAGTAAGTGCACCTTCTCAACCTGAACTAGCATAAGGGGAAGAATTTGAAGGAAGGAGTGCTGATTTGACAGATACCATGAGACTAAACCCATAAGATTAGGCCTCTACTCCTTAGAAACTGTGCAGCTTCAAGGAACCAAAAGGCCCTGTAGGTTGGCCCCTGTCTGTCCACTGTGCATCACTGTTTCTCATGGCTGTAACTATGATTGGGGAGAGCAAGTGTACAGCAAGTGGTTCCAGATGATATAAACAATGGAGCCAAGCCACAGCCTGCAGAGGACGTGGGAAAAGAACCCATAGCTCTAGGATTATTACCCTGGGAAAGCATGTATTGAAGTGTGCTGTTTATATGAGGATTTCTAATATATTGTTTTTGGGTGTTACAAGTGTGTACTCTTCCACAGTGTAGAACATGCAGATATCCAGTGGGCTATGAAAGCATTGGCCAGGGAGGCATTATTGACTCCAGCAGTCATTTATAGAAGTGAATGTTTAGAGCAGCTCTTGAATCCAGTATACTTTTTCAAAGCCAGTGGCATGACTTCAACTTGAACATGAAGGTCAACTTGAATGAAACAACTCCTGTTTTTCATTAAAGAGTTTGTTAGTATACAGAGCATGGAATGGTATCCAGTGTATTTTTAATACCGTGAAATGAGAGAACTTTCTAAACTCTAGTGTGTGGGGGAGACTACTCAGATAACATAAATCTTCTCTTGTTCTTCTCCAACCACAGCCTTCCACAATCCACTAAATTCTTGCCTCGGGATCGATTTCGGGTTATTCAAAACTTCATTGGCACAGTACCAAAAGGCCAGCAAATAGTGGAAGAGGTGAGTGAATTTAGATTGATGGGTGCAGCCATGCCGTGATAGTGCATCCTCAGAAATGTGCTTCCCCATCGGTGCTATTAATTCACATTTCTGCACATTCGTTCCTCAGAGGGAGGCAGCCTGAGGCAGCTGTCCCAATCACAGCTCCAGCTGTAGGGCTGAGCACATGGTTGCTCTTCAGAGCTATGAGACTAGTGCACCAGGGAAGCTGGAGGACCCATGACACAGAGGTCACACTGCTCCTGAGTATGGAAATGGGTCTGTAGTAGAGTCCACACATTGTCTGGAACATCATTTTAACACACACAGCATCATTATTAATCTGGCCTTGTAGCAGATTGAAGATGTCTGTCTGTCTTTTAAAAATCATTTATGTATTTAACGCTTTTATAAACCGTCCCTATACTAGCATCTCGGGATGGTTTACAACAAACAAATTAGGTCTGGTATATTTTATGAAATCCACCAACACCCCTTTTCGGTGTGGGTTGTTGTCAGACATGTAATGCAGTGGATGAAGGAGCTGTATACTGGATTAGCATGAGCTAGAAAGATTTACAAATTGTCTAGGAAGCTGTTACAGTCCAGATTGTGGATTTACTTGAAAGAGCACCTTCCAGGTGTTAAGATAGGTAGGAAGCCAATGAAGCAGGTGTAGCATTGAAGGGGGGGGCGTGTCTTGTCCCTTGCATTGCTCTGACATTTGCATTTGGTCCTTGAAGGTGGATGCTGCCATCTCCTTGTGTTCAGAAATGCATGACTTGAAGGAAGCCATTTATGAATGTAAGAAGAAGTTGGAAGGGATTGGAGATGATTACCAGATTCAGGTACTGGTTGGGCTGAGCCAGAGAATCTGCTTATTTCTTACATCTTGACCAGATCCCTGGGCATCAGTGAGTTCTCCATAGTGCTCTCTGCACCTGCGTTTATGGTCACTGTAGGCCTATGTATGAATGGGTGTTACGGCTCTCAGAGGGAAATCGGGATCTCTAGTGGAAGTCTCTTCCATATACTCAGAGATCTACAGCCTCCCCTGGGGTGCCTTCACTGTGAAATGGTCTTGGATGGGGGCATAGCAGACCCTTGTGCTTTATACGTAGCAGCTTGTTCTAACCAAGAGATCTCCTCAGTTCTACACTCACGTGTTCTGTGTACAGCACACCCATAGCATCTCCTCACCTTTGCATAACCATGCAGAAATGTAAATAAAGCAAGTACTTACTTAGTGCATTCCACACCTTTATTTTCTTAGTAACCCTTAAACTGTATAAAGTAGGTCAATAGCATTACCCTTTATTTCAGGCAGGTTTGAGAGAAAATGGCTTGCTTAAGCTCTCCCTAATAACTTCTTGACAGAGGTGAGGCTTAAAGCCATGGCACCTTGGCTCCTAGATCAGTCTTCTAGCTCCTTGGGGAGGAACCTTAGCACATTGTTGGAGTGCTTGCTTTGCACACAGAAGATGCGGCTTTCAGTTCTCACCATCTCTACTTGCAAGGGTCATGGGGCAGGTGATGTTCCCATGGGGCAAGTGATGTTCCTGTTAGCTTATATTCACATAAGAATAATCTTTTTACAGTTGGTAGCTTGCATTTGATCACCTAATTTAAAAGGGTCCTCGAGAGGCCGATGCATAAATCTGTTATAACATAAATATTCCAGCCTGCAAAATCCATTTTAAGTTTTGGAGATGTACTCTTCTGTCATGACCTGCAGCGTCTCCTAAATTTGAAGAATGGAAAGAGGAAAGATAAAGTCAAGGGGTATGCTGCTTTATTTTTCTCTTTGAACGTTTTCCCCACCCCAGCCCCTCTGTGCCTAGGGAAGATATATAAACAGGATAGACTGCAACATTTTTCATGTGTGAATGATAGCTATAAACCAAGACAGTTTGTACTGAAAGCTTTACACAGGACAAATATTTAGGCAGAAAATCATCACAGTACCTTGTGTTTCCAGGAGGATGTCTTGTATGAGTGTTTCCAAGAAAAACACTCTGGGTTGAAGATAAAAGCTCTTGGAAGAAGAAAATGGCAAGGATGTTCAGGCTATATGTTTGGGATCATGTCAGGGCTTGCATCCCAAGGGGGTGCTTTCCCTTAGCCACACTACCCAGTTCTGGCCAAGGGAAGGCGCTGCTGGGGCATTGTATTCACAAAGCAAATGTTTCACTCGACATGGCAATGTGGGACGGCAGATATTTCCTAGCCACTTCTCTCCTCCACTAATAGGCAAGGCCAAAATACCAGGATATTGTACCTTGAAGATCTTGCTGCCTGTAGCCAAGTCATCAGAATGGGCGAAAACCAGCTAAGGTTGGGAAACCACCAATCAGCAAATGGGGTGGGAGGGCAAGGGCAGGGGAACACCTGACCCTCTAGGGACCCCTGATACGGCCTCATGGAGTGCTGGATTTTTCCTGCAGGCCTGAGACTTTGCACCACTATTCTAAAGAATGGCTAGCTATTCAGTGAGAAGGTTTGTATGCTTACCGGCTACAGATTACCTTTGCTTTCTGCCTTGTTTGCCTTCTGCCTTCGCTTCATCCCGGCTTAACCAGAGTGAGCTCTGACAGGATAGTCCATTGATCTTCCCAGCGATTTGGTTAGGTCATTTAGGCTAAAACATGGCAGCATGCCCCATACCTCGTGGCTGAGTGGGACTGGAAGGTGGGTCCCCTAAGTGCTTTCCAGTGGTATATGGTATGAATGAGGTCCCATGCCAGGTGAATGGTCATCCTCGCAGACACCCCACCCCACCCCGTTGCCTCTCCCTGGCTCCACCACAACACCTGCACTTTCAAGGGTGGGCATCTGAAGAAGGGGAGCCCGCTCGTGTAGAGCTCTGTGTTGGCCTTGATCAGTCATAGAAGAGATCATGTGCAAGGCTACATGTCTGAGGTGTGTACACTCAGTGTGCAGCTTTGGAGGGTGGGGCTTGAAGGGTAAGCCGTCCGGGGACTCATGTTCACGCTGAATCTTCTGCTCCAAACCTACTCTGATGGAGGCATTCAGAGCAAATATCTGAATATAGTTCCTGGAGGAGTTAGCAAGTTTGTTCACCTTGTCAAAAGAAATAAAAAGAGATTGGTTGGGTGCTTCCAGGTGGAGGGCTTCTAGTGTACAGACACTGCAGATACTCTGTTTTCCTCCTCGATGTTTTGTTTTGTTTCTGGAAGAAAGAAGTGGTGGAAAAACAAAACAGGGTTCCAAAAGGAAAGCAGTGCTGTCCAGATTCTCTGTGAAATTCTATACAGGACAATAGCACAGTTAAGACAATTGGACACATCCAGTATTACACGTGTGGAGCATAAATAATGAACTTCCAACTCTGCAGGCACAGAGGCTTAAAATTGAGGCTTAAAACGTTTCACTCATTCTTGAAACTTGTAGGAGGTTTCTCTCACTTAATGCATGGCTAAAGTAAGGTTTGTGCTGAAGTCTGACAGGTGTAGGTCAGATATTTTACCCCACAGGCTCATTGCTGATGGAATAGATTTCTCAATGTGCTGGAATATCCCTTGCTTTAAATTTCTAGAAAGTGTCACATGATGAGTTTCAATCTCATATCAAACAGCAGTAAATTGCTGGCTGTTGGGAGTTTTTGGTTGAGTGGGAAGACAAAGGAATGGAGAGAAGCCCACCACCCCCAAAATAGGTACTTTAGCAGTCTAAGCATGTCTTGCATACCAGTTGGACCTTGGTGAGGAAACTGGAAGCACAATCCAATGATTCCAGTGTAGAGGAAATCAGGAAAGTTTTTGTTTCTTGCTCCCACTTGCCAGAAAAACATGCCCAGTGCTACAGGGTTTCTCTGTAGCCAAAGTTCTCTTGCCATTTGTAGCTCCTCGACTACTCCTTTTGCTAGTTTCAAAGAACAGCTACCTGGGAGTAACTTCTGATTCTCTGCTCTCAGATTGCTTTCGCAGGATGAGGCTGATGTAATGTCCTTGCTGGCTCTGGGAAATTAGTCTTTGGAATTAAACTCTGTTTAAACACGGGGAGTGCTTATTTGACGCTAAAAGCACAGCAGCAGCTCTTGCTAAACAATGTTTTTTTTCCTCCTTGGACTCATGTTCTTGTCTTGGGCAAAATGCACTGCAGTGGAAAGGAGGGCATGTAGCATATGTCAGGCCTGGAAAATGTGGGACTCACTAAGCCAGTTCCAGACCCATGGCTACCCACTGTGGAGTTGATAGACTTGTTGTTGTTGTTGTTGCAGTTGCAGCTGGCTAGGAGGAAAGTTTGCATATGGTTTTACCTTATGCTGCCTGGGTATATGCATACTCCAGTCCTGCTTAATTGAATGAAGTCAGGGAGGGACCATTTATATATTTTTAAATGGGCACAGATACATCTTTATGCCAGCCTAATTGTATGATGATATGTACTCAGTAATTGAATTTTTGCTGTACCCATAAATTCTGCCTTTTTAAAGTGTCTTGCATAACTCTTTCCCTATTGAGACTGGTAATACTTAAATGTGCTTAGTTCTGCCTGGATTTTGCCCAGCGATTCCCACCCCTACTTCACTTTTTAAAATGTGTGACTGGAAATATTCCATGCAGGAAAATTTTTAGTTCAGTTCTAAAGTTATTTCCTAATCTCTTTTGATAAATGACTTCAGACCGGATTTCTTTTAAAGTATAGCAAGTAAATATTAATGGAAGACCATTATATAATATCACAGATTTCCAACAGACACTTGCCAAGTTCTTTCTCTTTTTCAAAATGAAATAAAGTCAATAGAGTTAAATATTGGAGCACTGTGTTTTCCGTATGGAGAGTCAGTGTGCTTTACTGTTGGATTTAGACCAGAGATCTCTGATCCATCTCAGCTACAAAACACACCAGGTGACACTGGCAACTCGCCATCTCTGCATTCTTTAGGGGAAGAGTAAGGTAAATATCTTCTTATCTGAGTTGCTCAAAGACAGTCTGTGATTCATATATGTAATATTAAGTGTCTCTGGTCAAAAATCAATCAGACATGTCTTAGATCCTGCAAAAGCAATCTCATGCTGAGAACTAGGAGTCTGGATGTTGCTCTCTACAAAGGAGTAGCTGGAGGTGAACCTGGCAGGTGACAAGAGTGGAAACTAAAAGCTGGGAATTAAATGAGTGGAACTGGCTGGAGCCGGAGGTCAGACTAGAAGGCTCGGGAGATCCTTTGTGACTTGCTATGTTTCTACTTCTCTAAAAAACAAAACAAAACACCAACCCAATGAGAGTCCGCTGCGGGTGTACAATCAAAGGAACATTTAAAGTTTATTTAGATGCACAGGAAAAACATGTGGCATGTAGGTAGCCCCCAAAGGGACTGCAAAGATGGAGTCTATACAAGATGCTTTTATAACCAATCAGTTACATATGTTTGGGGGAGGGTTGGGGGATCAGGCTCACTGTTATAGGCGCATTAGGAGAATACAAGAGGGATTAAGACAATACCAAGAGAACAACCCTGGGACAGGTAAACTTTAGCATGTCTAAGGTGGACCCCAGATGAAGACCTTTCAGGACGTGCACATTATAATTTCTTAGGAGTAAGAGGGAAGCAGGGCTTGTAAAGTGGATTCCTATCTAAGGATAAAGCTGTTCTTACAGTGTCAGGCTTTTAGCAGCCACATAATGGCAGAGCATTTGCTCATGTCATTGCTCCTTTTTGCTGCTGCCGTAGAGACCACTTTTGATGACGGGCTTGCAGGACAACATTTCTAGGCTGATGAAAATGCCAGTAAGGTCTTTCAAAACATTAGGCTCTGTTTCCTAGTAGTAGTGCTCATGGAGTGATGCGCATTTTCTAATATTGCAATCAGGCCATACCAGAGGAGAAATCGGAAAACTAAGCACAAAATCCAGGATTCTGAGATACTCTGTTTTCAATTTATGAACATTCTAGGAGTCTGGGGTTTCAGGATTCATTGCCCTGTGCAGAATAACAATGCCAAATAAGAGCATTTAATCACATTCTCATATATTATACATATTGCCAAATGTACTCTTTGATGTGGATTTTTCTCAAAGTGTATAATATACATGGATGTCTTTGGTAATTCCATCCCCTGTTGAGATCTGTGGTTGCGGAAGAGATGCACACCTTCTATACATAGTTCCACACCAAAAAACAAAACAAAACGTTAATGTTTTACCTTGAATGTATATATGATTAAGGTTGTTGTGAAACTGTTTTTTCCAATCTGCAAGGCTCACCACTCCAAATTAATACGTTCACAAGTTCCTGTACAAGTTTGTGTGTGTTTGCATTGCAGGGGAACAGCGCCAAAGAGTATTTCCTGCAGCGGACATTACAGAGCCTTGGGCGCTATTTCTGCTTGGTAGCCTTTAACTATTACCTTCATGAACAGGTGAGCATTCTTCCCTAAATTCTCAACTGACCCATGCGTTTTCCCACCCCTATTCAAGGCATCCAATGGCATGTGGCAGATACTATGCTGATGTCAGGGCATGGAGTTACTGAAGCAACCTGTGAAGGGTGCAGGAGGCAGGATCTGGATAGAGAACTAAAATTTCCAGTGCCAGCCTCCTATTCATTTTATTTCTCTTCTTAAAAACCTTCATAGCACACCCTTTTTGTGGAAAAGCTTCCCTAAGGTGGATCACAATTACCAAATTTTAAACACCTGTTAGAAACAGAAATGAAATAACTCAAACTACAGCTGCAAATAAGAAAAGGGAAAAGAGGAGCCAGTGGGCAGCAACCATCGCAGGGACTCAGGCACTATCCTACAGTGAAGAACATTTACATGTATGGCTAGCAGCTGTGTCTCCCCACCTCCATTTTAATTCTAGAGTGGACACAGCCCCCCAATCCGATATGAGAGGCCACTCTGCTTCCCATGCTAGGATCCTGATCAGGATCGGACTCTGCCTACTACCAAGTACAAACCGGAAAAATGGATGCAGTTGCTGGACCCACACTTAAAGCAATGTCTGTTTTGTCCCTTAAAGAGCTTTGTTCTAGTGATCCAGATGAATGGGAACTCCAATGATTGAGGGCATTCCACAGGCTAGGCCACTGGTATGCCACCTGGTACCCTCCAGATGCTTTGGTCTACAGTTCCCATAGGTCATGGCCAATCACCAGGTTCAGAGTCCAAAAGTAATGGGTGGCCTATCCTTTATCCCTACCATTCCTTCCCTGCTTGTCCAATAACTAGGTTTCAGTTCCTGAGCAGATCACCCAGGCAGACTCATGGAAGGAGGGCAGCCCCAGTCCTAGATTACTTCGTCCGACCTTTAAAGTCTTGCAGCTGTACATGGTAGGAGTTGAGTGTTGTGCCAGTGACATACCTGAGACAGGTATCAAGCACTGAATCAGTCCCCTTCCTTGATACAGAGAAACTTTGGGAAGCTGGTCCTCCCTGGTCCTCTGCTTTTTACATGCAGGTGTCCTGTGTGATGGCTTCTTGCAGGCTCCTTCTTGGAGTCAGATCACATAGGAAAGAGCATTGCCTTGTGCCATCCTCATCGCACGCAAGACATCCAACACATCACACATCCTGTTTGTCCAGTGGTTGTTTGCAAACAACACTTGATCTTAACCAGAGAGCTGAGAACTGAAATTCTGAATGTTGGGATCTCAAATAAAAGAAAGCAGAATTAGTATTAAATCTGCAAATCCCCTTGACAGTTTCCCGTGCTTGCTTATCTCTTCCTCCAAACACACACGAGACAGCAGCAAAGGAAGATGTGGTCACTTTATCTTCTGAGTTCCTTTTCTCATATGGCCTGAACTAGTCTCATCTCGGGCTAAGAGACACTGCTCAGCAGTGGAACTGTAAAACCCTCCCATGCCCCTAACAGCCAGATACTTCCTTTATTCCCCCTATGAATGGCTTGTGATATACGCAGTACCTGGGATCACAGCATGCTCCTGATGCTATGCTTGTCTGTCTCCCCCTTCTCTTCTTTCTCATGGACTGGCAGTACCCCTTGGCTTTTGCTCTCAGTTTCAGTAGATGGATGTGCAGGCATCCTGAGCTGTACAGGCTCCAGGCAAGCACAAACCTGTCGGAACTGACAATCACGGGGGAGCAGCTAACAAAGGGCGCACGAGTGCTGGTGAGTGAACACCTCTGAACTCTCTTGGTCCTTCCTGGAGCTAGTTATATTATTTCCCTTTTCACCTTGCCTTTGTTTTCTAACCCTTAAAAATCCTGTGTTGGAGCCATTTTGGGCAAGCGTGCAAGCATGATTACATTTCTGTAAGAACCTTACCTGTAGATGCAATTGTTTTTTGTTAAAAGGTTGGACCGATGGTCTAGTGGAGCCTGGACTTGCATGACTAAGTGCTGGGATTTAAAAAAAATCAGTTTATGCCATCTTCATCTCTGCTATCTCCACCCCTGAATTTCCTGTTTTTTCTGAGCTTAGGAGGAATTTTCATACCATTTGGGGGAAATAGAGTTTATCAGCAAGAGCTGTCATGCAAAATATTTGGGGCATGGCTTTGTTTTGAATGGACAATTAAATTCCATTGGCTTTCAGCTGCCCTTTGCAGGTTCAGTATGCTAGTACTGTCAGAACATCCTAAAAAAATGGGGTTTGTGTTGTTTGTGTTGCTTTTGGTTTCTGTGTGTGTTGTGCACACACAGCTGCCTGGATTTTTGGGACATCTTTGATGATTAGGATGAACTCCTACATGTCCAAATTCACTTCACTGTCAGGTGGACTCTTTCTGTCATCTTACACACACACACACAGAGCAAGTTTGGCATTTGCAACGCTCTCTTGATGATACAATCATTTTTTAAAAAAGGGTTCTCTCTGTTCTTATAAGGGAGGCAAATGCACATCCTTGCAGCCTTGTTCCCTGTGTGATTTCAGGCATACACACTTTATTTAAATATGTTTTGAACAATTCAGATCTGAGTTGCATTCATTATTTTATTGTTACTCTCTTCTTTAGGCTTCTGGCTAGTTTGTGAGGAGGTGATTGGTACACAGCAGGAAATGCTTCAGAAAGCGTTTCTAAAAGCCACTTTAGGACAAAGTAAAAAGTAACATTTACCTAGATTTGTGGTTTCAAGGTGTGTGTGTGTGTTTTTTTTTTAAATATCTGGTACAGGTGGTAGATGAACGGTTTTCTCCGGATGTGCTCAGCACAGTCAAGGAAATGAGTGTGGCTAACTTCCGGAGGGTGCCCAAGATGCCTGTATATGGGATGGCACAGCCCAACTCCAAGGTAAACAGACAATCCCATGCAGTTTCTGGAAGGTGATTGTGATGGGACCCATGAACACCCAAATAACACGGGTCTTACTGAAAAGAACAAACAAAAGGGAATTTAAAAAAATAATGCTAATATTTCCAGATTTTTCATATCTGTGCACGAACCCCATAAAACTAGTAATAAAGGTGTGGAAATAGGATATCCTTTTAAAAATCTTTGCGTATTAAAAGGGAAATTTATTATGAAAAGTGTCTGTTTTAGAACATTGCTTGGAAACATTCCACTAGTGGGGATAGTCTTCTCTCCTAGCTCTTCCATTGCTGGAGCTGCCATTCCGTCTGTCTGTCTCAGCTCTTCCTCCTTAAAAAAATCTCCCAGAAACCCGCGTTCACCACCTCCCTGCACAGAAATATCGAGTGACTAAAAACTTCTTCCATTTGGACCATCTGTTTGTCAAACGCCGGTCTGTTAAAAAACACCAACAACTGCTGGGAATTCCATCCTCTTCTTACATTAATTGACTTTTATTGATCGTATAGAAGTTTTATGATTGGCATACTCATTTTTAAACTGATGGCTGATATTACTGTTTTAAATTGATTGTAACTATTATATACTGTTTTGCTAGGGTTTTATCGTAGAACTGTTCTGAGAGCTGTGTGCTAATGAACAGGATATAAAAGCCTAAATTTAAAAAATAATTAATAATGGGTCTGAACTGACTTGAAATGGCCTGGGGCATGGTGAGAGGAGGGCAAGCAGACTGAGACACAGCTCAGACTTGCATGCCGCCTGTTAGTGCTTTGTTTCTTCAATGCAGCCTTAACTGTAGTTACTGTTTCTCTTTAGGCTATTGGAAGTGTCTTGAGCTATCTGACAGATGCAAAGAGGAAGTACTCCCACATCTTGTGGGTTAATCTCCGTGAAGAAGTGGTCCTGGAAGGGAATGAGCAAATCTATACCCTACGGGAGCCTGGAAACCTAGAACAGCAGATAGCAGTCCCTGTAACGTCTCCTGAGCAGCTAGAGGTGAGAGCTTGTATTCTCTGAATTTCCCATTCCCTCTTGTACTGGAGTCCCGGTATGCCTGGTATATAAGGAGGTTTTCATTGACTGAAGGGGTCTCATTAACATAATTACTGAGAGTTGCTGCAGTTAGGATTGGGTGGTGCAGTGCGGCAGGTAGGGATTCTTGAACTTGCAGGCAATGGGTGCTTCCCATTGCTGCACCCTTTCAGTGTAATTTCCCAAGCAGAATAAGTGTATCTCCCTGTCTGGATTGTACAAGGCTGGCGTGTGCTCAGCTTTGTATATTAAAACTAAATTTAAGGGAAAGGGAACAGCAAACGGCCAGTGTTTCGTTCTCCACATTCACCATCTTAACACTCATATCCTGTGAATTCACTGCTTGAAACAGATGAGTGCGTTTCTGCATGCTTCATCTGGCTAGCACAAAAACGAAATGCTTCATTTGTGGAAGGAAATGCTGTCGTCTGTGGCTGCTTTTCAGAAAGGTGCCCATGAAAGCAACAGCACTGACAGAAATAGTAGCAGTGTGAATGATTTCATGCCATGGAACTTCTTGCTTTTCTTTTTCTTTTAAACTTATTTTTTACTGAGAATTTATTTATCAATTTATATCCTGCCTTTTTCCTCAAAGGACTCAAGGCAGCTTACATCATTCTCCTCCTCCATCTTATCCCCACAACAACCACCCTGTGTGAGGTAGGTTGGGCTGAGAGTCTGTGACTGGCCCAAAGTCACCCAGTTGGCTCCATGGCTGAGCAGGGACTAGAACCCAGATCATCTGAGTCCCAGTCCCATGCTCTTAACCACTACACCACACTGGCCCTCTTTCATTTCAAGATGAAACCCAAAACCAATCTCCAAATAAAAAAGAAGAAATGGTAAATGAAGTTAAAATAAAATATTGTGCTTTTCTTGCAAGGGATTTAAGTAAATTTATTACAATGAATATATATGTGTATGTATCTGTACCTCTATATGTTATATGTGTAGCAAGATATAGTTTCGCATAGACTTCAACAGAGGCAGCCCAAATAAGCACATAAATTAAACCTAAAAGCCATCTAGTCAAAAGTTTCATCAAGTCCTTTGCCCATTGAAATATTGCAGGTGCCTGTTTTCCTTCCAGTGTTGCAATAATGGTCTTTTAGCTTTCAAAAGCATGCTGAAAATCCATTTACATCAACCTTGGATTGATTTCCAAGAGGCTGGCCAATAGTTAAGAAGGACATGTGTATTTGTAAATATAAAGGAACGTTTCATCACAGAATGTATCCAGATAATTGTGTCCTCCCAAAAGCAGGCAGCTGGTGGGCATTGCCCAAAAAATGTGTAACAGAGGTATTAACTGTATTGCATCTCCAACAATTGCTCAGTTTAATCAAGCCATTATTGAAAAGACATTGTGGCATCCAGTATATCCAAAATATCATTTCTGCTGAATTAAAAATAGCCTAAGGTCTGTTACCCTTCTGAATAGATGCCTCCAAAGCACTACATGGATTGACCAAATATGGCACTCAAGTTCATTGTCCCATTCCTGTTTAAGACCCTGTGGATCATACCTTTTTCACTGGGTTGTGGGCCATTGTACCTGTTCAACCCCAGTCAATAATTCCATTAACAAAAGGGGCTCGGAAGCTCGATTCCAACAGATGTTTCAGTTTAATGTATATCCATTCAGCCATCAGATATCAGAGTACACAAAACAGAGAATTGCAGGAAGTCAATGCTGGGACCTACAAGGTGATCCAAAGAAAAAAGCAGCTGTCCATCCAAGTCTGTCAGACAAAGATTTTCTTGCCAATCTTTAAGTTCAGATTTCCACATCAAGTTCACTTTGCCTGTGCGAACAGAGCAAACTGCAGCTGGGGCAACACTGTGCACCATGCCTGTCTTACTGTCATAAATGCAGGAGGCACTCTTACCTGCTTTGGTGAAATCTATTTAGGTAGAGGATTTTCTAAAACTGGCCAGGAATAATAGTCTGAACAGAAAATACCAAAATTTAGTAGAAGTCAGCAAATTGGCCCTCTGAAATAAAGAGAAAGCAGGGAACCCAAATCCACCCTCTGAAATCAAAAGTCAAATCCTTCTCATGCTTATCTGTGGTGGAATGAGACGGGACTTCTTGGCAACAGGTGGTAGATGTATACTTTCAAAACCTCAGAGAAATAACTTCCTTATTTTATTTAACAGACGAATGAAAACAACAATATTCATATTAATGATCAAATTTTGAAATACCCCAATATATCCTCAGGTATACTGTGCTCCTCCAAATTCCATAAATCCTCTCAAGGTCATATCAGACTTACTGGGTTCCAGATCCAGTTAGTATGTTCTGTATAGAATACAAGTTGATTTAGAATCCAGTCCACTAACAGGAAGCACATATTTGGGAGACAAGGGAGGAAATGCAAAGGAACTTCAGCATCAATTTTTTTGGCTTTGAAGTTTTGTAGGCTTAATAGGACCCTGGCATGTGGTAGATTAATGGGGTATTTGACATCAGGGGACTATTGCCCTGTGTCATTGTACAGTATAATTTTATCTTATGGGTTGATCACCAGCCATCTGTGCATCATAAGTAACATTGCTTTCCTCCCCTCCTAAATCAGTTAATATAGGCAACAACATGAATCCAGACAGCTGCCATACCAATGGTATGGTCCTTTGTTCCTAGTTAAGTACATGGCTTGATCCATCATAGCTGTTCCTAAGGTCCCATCTAGCTCAGCATTCTGTTCACATGCAGGTTGTGGATGGTCTACAGAGACAGAGTGGAGGGAGCCTATAGCTGTCATGACTAGTAGCCACTGATAGGATTGTCATCCATGAATTTGTCCAGCTCCCTTTTAAAACCATCCAAACTGGGGGGCATCACGACATCTTGTGGAAATCAATTGCATAGTTTCACCATGGTGGTGTGAAGAAGTCCTTCCTTTCCTTTCCTCTGTTCTGCATCTCCCACCAGACAGCTTCATTGGATGACCCTGTTTTTGAGTATTAAGAGAGAAAAAGAGAAATGTCTCCCCATCCACTTTCTCCAATGTCTTGTGCATGTTTATCGTGTCTTGCCTCACTTGCCTTTTCTTAAGCAGAGCAGTCCCGTATGTTTTAACTTCCTGGTTGAGGAGTTGCTTCAGCCCCTTAGTCATTTTAGTATGGTTGCAAGATATTAAGGCGGTCATTCAGCTACATAGTGCGACACAATGGTTAGCAACATTTCCTTCTGACAAGTTTTGACTGTCCATATATATGTACTGGAACAGCCACATTCAAACATCTTGTTAATTGCTTTTTTCCTGCACTTTTCCCAGCTCTACAGTGATTTCTTTGTTGTCTAAGTCTCTATCTTTCCTAGCTTCTCCCAACTTGGCAGCTTCCAGATGTGTTGAATTATGACCCTTTTCATCTCCGGACAGCAAAGCCAATGCCGTGGGGACGTGGTGGGGCTTATAGTCCAGTCCTACGATGGGGGATTCCCTCCATCCCGAGTGGGGAGATACAGGAGCATTCTAACGAGGTCCCTTCTCTTCCTTGGAATCCCTTGAATCTTCCCTTCAGAAATTGGAGTCTGTCTTGAAGAATGACCTGCTGAAATCCCAGAAATGGATTGAAGTGTATCTGGAGCAGGAGAAGCAGATGAAAATGTTTAAGACATGCCTGACCATGCAGGAGGTGTTTAACCAGCACAAGAGCTCTTGCCAGGGGCTGGCGTACAAACGGATCCCGATCCCAGACTTCTGTGCTCCCAAGGAAAAGGTAAGCGGCATACCGGCATGCCTCTCCCTCCCCACAGTGTGGAGAAAGGCTGCTTAGGGAGGGGGATCCAACTTTAAGAGGACTGTTGGCTGGCAGAGAGAGTGCGAAGCGGCCTTTTCCTCCCCACGTGCCAAGTTGCCTCCTCCGTATTCCAGCCTTGCATGGAATAGTTGATGCATTTCTGCGGCAAGGGGTGCGTATGTGAAGCCTTTTGTGGACAAAGGATTGAACTGCACATCATATGAGCCCTGAGATCAGGTGTTTAGTGAGGCATAGCATAGGGAGCCATGTTTTTGTCCTTGAGTTTGGCCAGGGGAGACTAAAAGCACCTTTCGTAGCGGATATCCTTATTATCACATTGCTGCCATCTGTTGGCCTCAGCAGGAACAGAACACACGATGGCCACATGTAAATAGTACAAGAGTTGGGTGCTGCTCACGTTAGTAAAAGTTTGCTTCGTGTTTAGCAACATGTGCAAGATCGTGAGCCTCTGATTATAGCTGGGTACATCCTGCTTCAACAACTATCTTCTCAGTTACCAAGAAGAGACAAGATTACTTCTTGGTTTTGAACTGAGACTATGGCAGATGCTACGCACTTCAGCCCACGCACCTTCTCACAGCTACAAAGTTTAGGAACTCTCTGTGGCCCGCAAACACATAATATACACAGCCATTATGTTGGCATATGAATTGATTATATAAACACAGTACAAGGAAGAGATCTCTTGGGTACAGTGAATAAAAACACACATCTGTCTGTCTGTGTCTGTAATCTCCACTGGCTGTGTTTTTGCTTTATGGATATAAAAATGGATTACAAAGAGGAAGCAAGCTGCATGGGAAAATGCTCAGTTTGTATATGGCTAAGAGATGCAATCTAAGATGAGGTTTAAATTCTCTTTTAGGACTGGATCTCGCTATAATTATCTGTTCTTTAAATCCTAGGCTGTAATGTATGAAGTATGTAAGTAGTGACATTTTTATTGGAAAATTTGGGACCCTTTTTGCCAAGGATGAGCCATTTGTCTTTTTTCCTGGGCTCCTTCTTTTCCTCCCATTAATGGTGTCTTGTGAAATATTGGCCACATAAGGGTTATAATACCCCAGCATCATAAGTGGAGTTATGAGCTATACTTTTAGCTGTAGACATTCCCACTTCACTTGAGTATATGATGAAGTCTCTCGGTAACTATATTTTCTAATTTCTTTTGAAGTCAGGAAGGTATGGTTAATAGCTTCAGAAAAAGCCAGGATATGAAACCATAGTTTGAAGTTAATTTAATGTTCTGGCATATTTTGAAGCCATTGACCATAGTTTCCCGTAGAAGAAATGGGAAACTGCATAAAGAATTTCTGACTTGCTTGCCTCTGCTGTGAATTGCAGAGGTGAGGGGCTTTCTGTGCATCACCAAGGTTTATTCATATCTTGTCTTATCCGGCTGAGGTATGACCTTATGGAAGAACCCAGTGTTTGCAAAGCTGTGATAATTGCTCATCCCACTTTGTCTGTTGGAGAGTGTGTTTAGTTGATATTGAAGGTGACAGGTATCACCGAAAGCTGATGTATTACCAAGTCCATGGGTTGCATATACCCAAGAAGACAGACTAGTCTGCTCACAGGGCCTTTTGTTTTCCATCTGTAGGACTTTGATCAGCTGCTGGAAGCAATGAAAAATGCATTGGCCGAAGACTCCAACACCGCCTTTGTATTCAATTGTCACAGTGGCAGAGGAAGAACCACCACAGCCATGGTCATTGCTGTGCTCACCCTTTGGCATTTCAATGTATGTACTCTTTTGGAGGGGGTTATCCATTCTGCAAAGGGCCTCAAACTCTCCAAGGAGAGAGTTATTGAAATCCTGCTATTGAAATCCTCAAGGGTTCTGTTCAGATTGGGTAGGACGTACAACTCTTACTGTTCCAAAAAACTTCTAGAGTATAATTTTCAGGAGTAGCTTTAATCTTTTAAACCCATCTTTGGGAGTTGTGCACCTTAAAGCAACAGAGGTGATACAGAATACAAAGCATTTCCCTGTTAATATTGATAGAAGATGACTAACTCTGTGTTCCACCCCTGAGTGAACTTGTTGACTCTGTGAAGGTGGCCCCAATCCTACAGCATAAGCTTCATGTCCACACTTGTCCCTTTACACATTTAGAAGGACTTCTAAATCCTTCTTGTTCTAACAGGCTTTATGGCAGGGGTGCGGTGCCTCTTTCAACCCAAGGACTGAATTCACTTTCAGAGAAGCTCTTGGACAAGCACATTCCACATTCCAGCACTGAAGGCAAAAGGGTCCCAGCCAAAATTAACAAACCAAACAAACCAACAGCAGAATATTTATTTTCACTTACAGTTGTTGTTATCAATCACTAACCCTTAAGAGAAGCATTTTACCTGTTTAAAATGGGCAAAAACCATGAAACCACCAAACCATCAGTGGGGTGAATGGGCAGAGCCAAGGAAAGAAACCCAGAAGAGCCATATTGGATTCCTGAGCTTCAGTTTGGCAACCCCTGCTTTAAGAAATGGCCCACAATCCTAAGGTTCTGCAATTACTACTCACTGTTGTCTTTCAGTAAATTTTGGGTTTCTTTGGTGGTGTATTTTTTTTTTTAAAAAGGAAATGATTTTTGTAATTTGTTAAATTTGGTATGTGGATTTGCTTCTTAATGTTTATAATGGGTGCTGATTAATGTAAATATCCTAAGCTGCTCTGAATTAAGGCAGCAGTTCTCAGACTGCATCCCATGGTAGATAAACACCCTGAAAGACAGCATGACAGTTATCTAGTAGTGTTCCTGCAAGAGGGAAATATTTAGCATGTTTTTAGGGTGGACTCTTGCTTCAAATGGGGCAACTGTAGTCTGAGGAAGACAAACTCAAGTTCCTGCATCCCCCATCCTCTAGTGCAGTCACAAGGAGGTGTCTGGAAATATTCACGTCAATTTTGTGTAATTGCAGCTTGTTGTTTCGTCTAAACCCAACATTCATAGTTAATTTTAACCATGGCTTGTTGGAAACAAACCAACTACAAGACATGAATGATAAAGCTGGCTCTTTTGAGCAAACCATACCTATTGTGAGCACCAGTTTACAGTTTGGATGTTAGTTGGAATGGCTGTTGATAAGCAATGAAAGTGAAAGCGTCTGAACTCCATCTTGCACCCACACTGGAGGAGGGGTGGGGGAGAGCAGGACCCCAAGGCTCGCTGAAGTCGCCATATTGGCATGATGCCTGAACACAGCCCAGGAGGTCCAGTAGACCTGACCGACAAGCCTTCTTGGATCTGAGTGAGCAACTAAGAATGTCTCTGCAATGCACTGGGACAGCTTTTGTGAACCCAATGATTAAGGGATTAAGAAGAATACTTTAAAAGAAATAAACAGAAAAAAGAGAGAAGTGCCTGAATGCTGCTGTAATACTATAGGACATAAGGCAAATTTCCTAAGCAGCTGTACTTTGGGGTGCATAATTCTGTGACATAGTTCCTGCATAATCTCTTGCATGCTTGAAGAATTGCATGTAAGACCCCCTCTTGTTGCTGCAGGGAATCCCAGAAATAACTGAGGATGAAATTGTGAGTGTGCCTGATGCCAAGTACACCAAAGGAGAGTTTGAGGTGAGCATTTTCTAGTTATTTTGTGGCTTGAATATTTTCAGGGTTTCAGAACTGGTCTTTAGGCATCTCTCACCTTTGCAATTACATACATTTGAATGCCACTACAGACACAACTGCATACTGAATCTTTTTGGCCACCACTGGTCCCTGGGCCTGCCTCTACAGCATCTGGATTCCTTTATTCCCAGCTGAAGCTAGGTCACTGGGGACATTGAGCTGCCTGCAGTGTTAAGACTGGGCTTTGAAAGGAAAGGAGTGGCAGAAATTCTGTCTCATACAATCATGAGGCAGAAATCTTTGGTGCAAACCTTGGAAAGATACTGTGACTCATAGCTTCTGCCTTGAGCATTTTAAATGATCGAAGACATTTGCCCTTGATACTTGAAAGGTTAAGATTAAGAATGTAGTGCGTAAGCTCCTATGAACATTTTTGGAATTTTGCTAGGTGTGGGCTTTGCACTTGTCAGGAGGGTCAAAAACATTACAGGCATGCAGCACAGCATGGTTTTTCTCTGTTCCCTTATGTACGTTTTGCAATGCAAACAGAGATACGTGCTTCCAACATTTCTGTGCGGGTGGACTGTGTTAGTCCATTGCAGAGAAGATAATGTTTGGTGGCCCCTTGAATCCTAACAAATGTATTCTGGCAGATGCTTTTATGGACTACAGTCTGCTTCATCAGATGAAAATGATGGACAGTGTATGTGTAGGCAGTGTTCATGAAAGCTATTGTTGGAACGGATCTGTCAATGTTCTAAGGTGCCACAAGACTCTTTGCCTTTTCTTTTATTGTGTTTTTTGCTCTTGTTGCTGTTTAAAGTAGCTTTTGGGAGTAAACTCTTTTCTCTGCTACTTCTTCAGAACAAATTTTCTGCTGCTCAGTGTTTACTCCTCTTGGGAGACAATGTTCCAGGTGGGAAGGCTTCATGATTGTCTCTGACATTGCTCTTACCGACCAGGTGGTGATGAAAGTGGTCCAGTTATTGCCAGAGGGACACCAAATGAAGAAGCAGGTAGACATGGCACTGGATATTGTGAGTGAGACCATGACGCCCATGCACTATCACCTGAGAGAAATCATCATATGCAGCTATAGACAGGTAAGGCGTGCAAGGGCCAGTACAACCCACTGCCTGTAATTTTGAACTTTTGCTTACCTCTGTTTGCATAATGCTTTTCACATGGCCATTAAGGAGCACAGGCAACCTAGTTTATACTTAATGGCAGGTGAGACGGCAGAGCGTTCAGTGCAGAGAAGATGGCATGGCAGATTGCTCAGATGAGAAATCCCTCAGCTGTTCTTCTTTGTGGTCTCTGTGCATCACACGTATGGGCTCTATGCTTGTGCGGTGCCTGTTGTCAGGAGGATTGCCAAGAATTTCGACTCATTCTGGTGGGAGCCCTTCCCCTCCCATCCTCCCCTCGGTATATCTAAGAGGGCTCCCATCATTTCCCCCAGTTCTCTTCCAACTGCAGTTGTGGGCGCCTCAGGGCTTTCCTCTGTGCATAGTATCCACATTCTCCTTCAGCTTTCCTTGGTCTTTACTACATTCACCAGCTCCCACTTTTCTTTTTCGAAAACCCTGCTTTATCCCTAGCATTCTTCCCCCTGCAAAAAACCAGACCAGACCAGACCCTTACCAAAAAGAACCTTCATTCAGCATTACCAGCTTGATATCTGCACCAGGCAGTTTTGCTCCTTCAGCCAAGCAGTCCTCTAGGCCCTCTGCCAATGACACTTGCCTGCCTCTATTTCGAGGTAAGCTTGCTAGTCGCCCATATGTGTGACCCACAGACACCGTTCCTTGAGTGGCCATCTGTGCATTCACGCAACCTGCCCACCACTTTGGTGCCAACAGCTTGGCTCCCCAGCTTTTCCTTGGGTCTGTGCCTAGAGGGTGCAGTCAGCCATTCATTGTCCTTCCCCCGGTTCCAAGGCCACAGTGCCTGGGAAAAATGGTGGGACTCCCTCCTCCCCTCCCAGGCAGAGGGAGGAGAGGAGCTTCCAGCAGAACAAGTCTAGCTTGGAAATCTTCTCAACAACAGACCTGCACAGGTGCAGAGCCCATGTGTGTGATACACAGATGACCTCCCAAAGAGCAACAGTGGCAGGTAAGCAACTTGCCTTTCTCAGGATCTAAGCCAGGTGGGGAACCTGGCTTCCTGCTGACTCACTTCAGCAGTGGCTCTGCCTCCTGCTGGAACGCAGAACCTTTGCACCACCTTTGCACCACTGTCACCTCAGTCTCCCTGTGCTTAGGTTAAATCAACAAGTCCATTAGGGAAGCCCTGTAGCTCCAGTGGGGAATCGTCTGCATGCTGCTTCAGAGAGATGCCGTTGATCTACATTTTGTTACAGTCGGGAGATTGTGCAAATTAGATTTTTTTTTTAATGGACTTGTCCAAACTGGGAGAAGTGGCTGCTCTTCTCAGCACTGGCTGCGCCCCTCCTCCGTGCTTTGATCCGTTGAGGGGCAGGGCGCTTTTGGCACTGGGCTTGGCCTTGCGCACTGATGTCATCTGACTCACGGAGAGCCTGGTGGGGGGCAATTTGGCACTTCTGCCTCGCTTGGGGCTGTAATATTAAATGGATAAAGGGCATGATTTGTGTGTGGCTTACAAGTGAATAAGGCTGAAACTGACTGGGGTTAGCGTCAGATTGATTTCTTGTCTATGCAAGTAGGTTAGCTGAAGCTTGCCTTTTCTTCAGTCTGGTCAGTTCCTGCTGGAGAGTTGATCAAGTTGGCATTCTTGCACCCGAGCGCGGGTGGCCATTGTATTACAGTTACACGCTGTTCCTTGGTCTCTGAAGAAACACTGCCTGCCTACAAGTACTTGTGAATTTTTTAGATGATATTTCAACAGTGAAATATCATCAAAGGACTTTTAAAGTAAGACATGGTGATAGAAGAACTATGTCTCCAGGCAGTATGGTTTCCTCTAGCAAAGAAATGTGTAAGGACTTGTTTGTTAAATGACTCCTGAACCTTGCTGGCTTTGCTGGCTGCATTCCTCCACACTTCCCACCACCACCGCTCTCAGGTTCCTGTTTTGTGTGGCTGCTGAAGCGACTTGACTTGGCAGAGGGCTTGGCAGTGTGTGCCTCTCTCTGTTTTGAGAGTGCTTGTCCTAGGACAGGAAGGACGATTCTGCTTGCGTTATCTATCGCACAAGAATGTTATAGACAAGACAAGAATGCAGAAGTGCCAAGCCCCACACATGCACTGCAGCCCTTAATGTTCCCATTTTCCCTGCCCTGAGTCAGTGTTCCCTGCAGAAACATGCTTTCTGTGGATACATTTTTTAAAAACGGAATGTCCTTCATGGGTGTGGAGAAGCACTTGACACATAGTCAGAGGCACCAAGCAAACATATGAGGTAGGAAGATGCAGAACACTTGATGTGAGGGTGGGAGAGGGACCGTGTGATGCCATGCAGAGTGAAATATTCACAGATGAAGATATTACGTTGTGTGATTAAAGGCAGGGTTCAGCTCTGCAAAGGCTGAAGAGTGCCAGCCTATTCTGACAGTCAGTCATCCCTCAGACGGAGATCTTTTATAGCCTTTTTACTTCGGATCTTCAAGTGGAGATGCTGGAGCTTAATCCTAGGACCATATACCTGTAAAAACGTACTCTTCCACTAAGATATAACACCCCCCCCCCCTTTCATTTCAAGCTGGAATTTTAGCCTTCTGCTATACACAGGATGTTACAGGTAGAATGGCAATGTGATATTCCAAGCCTCTCAAAACTCATCACAAATGAATCTTGTTTGCTTCAGTGCTAAGGGATTGTATACTTAAAAAAGAAAAGCATCTTTCTGGAAGGATGCTTTACATCTGATACGTTTCAGACATGAGATCACAGATGTGTTGATGCTTGTTGAGATTGTCACTTTCCTGTATAAACGGTGGGAGATAGCAGTTTAATATTGCTTATGTGATAGCTTTGCTTCCTGTCTCAATGGTATTTTTTCTTTTAACATGCTATCACTTGCAAATGTGCTTGGGCTGGCAGATGCAGATCCTGACATGGAACCAACATGTAGACAGTACTCTTGCTTCTTTAAGAGGTCATGTGCCCCATCTTTAGAGCACCACATGGACTACATATCCTGGGTTCCAATAATTTTATGGCAGGCTTCAAGATGCCTGTAGTGGTACTCCTGTGTTTTTCCATGCTGGATGTCTTCTGGTGGGACTTGGTCCTGCCCCTGATACTAACAATGCAGTCGTGAACAATACAGCCCCTTAGCTGCAGAGGCCAGGAGAACTTCTCAATTTTGGATTGTGCCTTAAGCTGCCGAGGGAGTTTCCTTGCATGCTCAACTCAACCTTTCCAGGTTCAGCACCCTGGGAAAATATCTGTCCCTACAGGGCTCTTGTGAGCTTTTGCACTTAAGTCAATCCTCCTACTTTTAGTTCATCTTTCCTCAGTCTGGTGCCCTACAGATATTTTGGGCCTCAAATTTCAGCTGCCCTAGTCAGCATGGCTGGAAGCTGTTGTCCAAACATATGGAAAGTACCCTGTGGGGGAAGGCTGCTTTAGAGGGCTCAGTCCAGAGCTGAACTAGCCCCAGGCCCAATTCAAATATGGCAGCAGCAGTGTAGTAGATCCCAGCACCTATACATTTCCATGCAGGTAACTGGTACCACCCTTTATGTCCATGGAATCCACTAATGCCAAGTTCACAGTGCCCCCGGAGCAATTGATACTGCTATGGAGATGCTCCAGACATTGGTGCTGAATAGCATGAGTCCCTGATTCGAAGTGGTAGCCCACCCCACACAGAAGCCCTTCTGAGCAGTGTACAGGCCAACCAATGGTGGCACAACATGACCAGAGAAGTAGCCATCAGGACACAGAGTTGCACTATTCGCTTTAAACCAACAGATGGCAGGAAAGTGTCTTTTAATTTTCTGGTAATAGGTAGTGATGGAGATAAGGAAAGCTGCATTTAAATAGGCATGTACCCTAAGAAAAAGAATCAGGGATCACAACAGTGTGTGCATATCTATATTAGAAAGTTCAGCATTGTTGTTGTTATCATTGTGTTAAAGGCTGCAGAAAAGAATCCCATTTGGTCTCCGGTTACTGTAGTTGCAACATGCCTTTACAGCAGGGCGAGTTTGCACATCCTGCTGCCATGAAGGTTCGTGCGTATCTGAGTCAGGCCTAAGAAATGTGTGGTGTCCTTCATTCTGATTCTGCTGCATTGAAGAGCTTATGCCATCATGTTTAATGCTTGCATGCTTCATACCTAAATCATCCTCAGGAATCATAGCATGCTGATTTTTAAGAGCAGTAATACCAGAAGAGGATTTTAACAAGATGAGCCAGGTTTTCTTTACGGTATTTTGCATTTCAGTAAAAGACACTACAGGAAGTGTATTTCCAGTATAACTTGCAGAACAAGGTTTGAGAAACTAGCTTAGGCAATCCAGAAAACAATACTTGGAGCATTGGTGACCCAACTCCAATTTTCAGTTTCAAAACGCTTGCATACAGCATGGTTTCTGCTAGTTTTTAAGGGAGATGTAGTCCAACAAAGAGAAAATTGAGCCTATGCTGTACTTGAGTTCTTTTTAAAAAGAAAGAGAAAAGCAAGATATAAATCAAATAAATAAATAAAGCTCCAGTTTATCTTACAGCACCTGGCAAAGTGGGTGGTAACCCATATCAATGAAGGCTGATACTAATTGATTGAACAACAACTCTATTGTTTAAGAAACAACAATCGCAACAACTAAAACAATCATTTTGAAAAATATAACTCTATTCATATGGGGGGAAGCCCTATTGAATTTCCCAAGACTTAAGTAAATAGGAGCAACACAAAATTTGGACCTTGCAGTAGAAAACCTTGACACATGCTCAGAGGTCATATGATTGTGTGTAACACAGTGTAACTCAGTGTAACACACAACCTGAGACTTGGGGCCCACAGCAGCACTAAAATAGCACAAAATGTGGCACAGCTTTGAAGGTGATGCAACAATATTGGGTTTTGTGTGCATTCACAACAAATCTGCATTTAATATATCACTTCAGAGTTGTGGATGGCAACACAAACTCAAGAATTCAGAGATGGCCGCCAA